AAAAATTACCGTGGGTGTGGACGTGGTCAAAAAACATGGCACTTGAAATCAATTGTTGTATGCTTATACTTCAGCGTCTTTTCGACAAAAAAAGTATAGAAACGCATGCTATAGATAAGTAAACAACAGCTGACAGCTTTTGAAGTATTCAGGAAATATCACAAACTTGCGAGTTGCTGTTTAAAAAAAATTTTGTCAGGCCGTCTGTGGCCGTTTATCAAAAAGTTGCCGTCTAAATTCAAAAGTGGTCGTTCATAGGACGGTTGGGCGACCGCCTGGCTAAGTGCCTGCCATGTGGGGTATAATTTTGAAACTTGCTCACACAAGTTGGAAATATATATATATATCCCCCGAGGCCTGTGCGCGTCAGGCGAAGCACGTAGCGGGTGTACTAATTTCACACGGCTATGTACACCCGCGGGGAAAGGCCAGCAGCTAGCGAAATGAAAAGTCCACCATTATTGCGGGCGCATGGGTGATGAGCTGTCACCACTGATCTCGAAAGTATGACGGACTGCCAGAAGTGGAACAAGCAAGATTTAAAGGGGAGACTTTTCATAAAATGAATTTTGTTTCGAGGGAATAACAAAATATGACATCGTGAAGTATAATGAAGTTTGTTTTTGTTTTTTGTATGTGTTGCTTTGAAATGTTTTGCTTAAACAATGTTTTTCACATAAATTATACATTTATTAAACCTAAATTACGGGAGCCACTGGGTATTTTGATAAAATACAAAACAATAGATACTCCGAAAATCAGGGGCGCGCATTCAAAAAAAGTTTGGGGGGGTGTCCTATGTTGTGGGGCTGACTTTTGTAGTATTTTTGTTTGATAAGAAAAGCCAACTATTTAAAGAGTTTAAATAAACGTTCAGTTTTCAGAACTTCTGCAGTGGTCTAAATTTTGGGGGTCCAAAAATTTTATGGAATTATGGATTTCAAATGCGAGCGCCGAAGGCGCCAGGAAAATTTGGAATTTCTAGATTCATTAGAACGCTATTTCACGTGTTTTAGGATGAGGTTTGAAGAAAAGGTACTATCGCAAAAAGGCATTTTTACAGTGAAAATACAAAAAGTGTCCCACTCCGCTTCTGTAGTTTGTTGTGATTTACTGTAATTTGTTCTGTTTTTCTGTTGCGATTACCGATTTATCGGCAAATACTGCGATAAAATTTAAATTTCGTTCCTTTTATGCAATGAAACTAACGAAAAATGTATTATTTCCCTTTGCTACAAATTATCATATTTAAAAATAGAAAAAACTAAGTTTTATCGCGGTATTTGCCGATAAATCGGTAATCGCTACAGAAAAACAGAACAAATTACAGTAAATCACAACAAACTACAGAAGCGGAAGTGGGACACTTTTTGTATTTTCACTGTAAGTAGCCTAATTGTTGTTAGATCGAAAAAATATTTATGTAAAACATTGTACCCTACACGCAAATACAACAGCAAAATAGCACGATGTCTTCCTTTTGTACAAGTCGGTAATGACTGCTGTTATGCGCGCAAATTCAAGTTCAAATGTGCTTTCAACAACCATAGACATTGTTTACTGGAGTTAGGATTCTAGATAGGGAAGACTACAACTTTTATTGGTAAACAGAAGAGATCAGATGGGTATCATTATTCACACATCGTTCCCACCCAACAATTTCTGCCGGCTTTCAGCTTTTCACAAGCGCAGTCTTTCCGCCCATTGCAGGCCCCTTCTTGGCTACGCAGCTGAACTTCTGCCTTTCAAAGTTTCAGACTTTCAGTTTGTGCGACAAGACTAAGGTGCTGATTACATGGTGCCGAGCTGGCCCGGTTAACCGGGCTGACTCGTTTGTTTAGGACCTTACTTGTGGTTTTAAAACTCGCGTAAAATAAATTTGCGATAAATAATTGGTTTATTATAGATGCAAAATCATCCTAAACCCGATTTAAAACTCATTTTGCGGCCCAAGGAAGATTTTCGTGACATTTTTCAGCCCGGTCCATGTAATCAGCCCCTAACAATGCGCCTTTTAACTGCACCGCGGGGGCTTGAGGTAATCTGATCGCATTACGTTGGCAGAACTGTTGCAACGCGAAAGTTGATTATTTGCTGCTAGTATTATGTGATTGATCTCTTGGTTTGTATATGCGTTTTTGTTATTTTTAGGCAATTTTCATTTCCAAAATGTCCACCTATTTCTTTTTTTCGACACGGAATGATGTCTTTCAGATTTTAACTGGACCGACTTTCTTTTGTCCCATTCAGGTTTCGGGACCGACTTTTTAGATACATTTCACAAAACATGGGGGGAGG